ATTACGTACTTTAAGGATAGGGAAATATTAATTCTCCACTGCAACTTAGTCATTTTAACCCGGTCCATTTTGGTTTCTGCAAAGTTCTTGCTGAGTATATCTCGATGGTTTAATAAAACTTTGCAAATGTCATCAACGTATTCTTCTGTAAAACTGCGGACAGAGTTATAAATTATTTTAACAAAGTTCATTAGTAGAAGCACAGCCATAATATGTATGTCAAATAAATGTACACATGCATATGAATACGTACTTTAAGTCATCCATTAAACACTTTCGCAACTCATGATGTTTTACAACGCCCTTTGGATATCTCAGAAAGATTTGCATCATTAAAAATATCATTGTAAAAAGTTCACAAAAGTTTGGTGGAATCTTATGCCCAGAATTTGTGAGCTTGTTCAGTGCCAGGGAGAGCACTTCCGAAGACGACTTTTTTGTTTCAATAAAATGCACAGATACTTGAATAAGGACTCGTAACATAGACTTGGTCAGTTGCGGGGCAAAAGGAGTGTATGGCTTAACACTCCTCAAAAGATTATATCTAAACGAAGACGACATGATTTTTACAATTTGTTTGGTAGAAAAGGTAAACAACCTAAAGATGTGTACATTTCGATAACTGGACTTTCGATATTGAAACCTTGGACATTCATCGTACAAATTTAAAAGATGGAATGAAATGGAATTACTATTCACTTCCTAAAGATTTACCCGGATTCTAGTTCCTCAGATCTGCTCCGAGACTTAATTTCGAAATAACTACACGGATTCGAATACTCCTTTGTTCTTACTCTGTTGGCTTCCAAAAAATTCTTGAAACTTTTCGCCAAGCAATCGGCTAGCGGGATTAAATCCGCTAAGACAATAATGAGTTGTTTAAAATTACTTTGCAACAACTTTACATGCATATGCTGTCATTATCAAATTCCTTGACGTTAAATGTTGATTATCGCGTTATAAGATTTTAAATTAATTGCAAATTTGATATTTAAAAATTTTTTCGTGGTTGCACCTTAAAAGTCGGTAAATTTTAACCTTTACAACAATTACAAATTTGTCGCACCTTTTCATAAAACGTTTTTGGCTTTAACGGGCCAGGGATTTTATGGTACGGATAAAATGTAAATAAGAACCAACAGCGGTCCAAAACTTAATCGGCCCTTTGGCTGAAAAACGCAGGCACAGTTGTCCAGAGACGGTTGGAGCAGTCAGCTGTTTTATTTGGCACCAAATGGGACTTTCCTTATGAAAATTACCGAACATGCAGGGAAATTTTATTATGTTCAAGGGAAATCCGACAATGTTAACGATTGGTTGAAAGAACATTTAACATTTAAAATATATAATAAGGATGTTAAGGGGAACTGGGCACTTTTACCTTTTCATGTTAGTTTTGATAAATTTTGCAGGTTTTTATACCCGTTACTCGTAGAGTAAAAGGGTATACTAGATTATACCATAAAGTATATATATTCTTGATCAGGATCACTAGCCGAGTCGATCTAGCCATGTCCGTCTGTCCGTCTGTCCGGATGAACGCTGAGATCTCGGAAACTATGAGAGCTAGTCTATTGAGATTTGGCGTACAGATTCCTGAGCTTCTTACGCAGCGCAAGTTTTTTTCAGTAGAGTGCCACGCCCACTCTAACGCCCACAAACCGCCCAAAACTGTAACTCCTACAGTTTTGATGCTAGAATAAAAATTTTAGCTGAAATGTAATGTTCTCATCAATACCTATCGATTGACCCAAAAAAAAGTTTGCCACGCCCACAAACCGCGAAAACCTGTGACGCCCACAATTTTCATGCTAGATGAAAAATATTAACTGAAATGTATTGGTCTCGTCAATACCTATCGATTGATCCAAAAAAAATTTTGCCACGCCCACTCTAACGCCCATAACGCTTAAATCTGTCTACCGCCGGTAGGTGGCGTATTTAAATCTCGATTTGCTGCTTGCATATCTCTATTTAGCTGAGTAACGGGTATCTGATAGTCGAGGTACTCGACTATAGCGTTCTTCCTTGTTTTTGTATAGAATGTTTTTGTGGAATTGGTTTGGCATTCAGCACGGGTGGTAAAATCTGTTTCTAAATCGGAGGAAATGAAGTGAAGGAAAAAAAACCCAGGCAAGATCAGAAATATCTTGAAATCCTATTGTAGTTTAATCCATGCTTTCAACTAGCTTAAACCACCCCCCATGCGTTTTTGAGTTGGTCTGAGGACACAGAAATAGAGAAATATATAATAATCTGAAAATTTTAGTACATATGACGAGTGCTCTAATATTACAAAAAAGATAATCATGACAAAATCAAAAACCAAAGAAAAGGAAAAAAAAAATTTCAGCTGAGGTTTGAACCCCCATACTATGGAGCGAGAGTTAGATGTTCTAACCTCTAGGCTACTCAGGACTGTGAAAAATTCGGATAGAAAGCCTAAACAGATTTGACACTTATTACTACGATTCGATAATTAGGACTGGACGATACAACCCTACCAACACTAGACCCATATCGATAATCGACAATCGAAGTAGTTGGCCGAGAATTATAACTTGGGAATCATAACAGAGTGGAACTTTTCCCAAAAACCCAGTAGGTGAGGTTTAAGGGAACCCCTATACGCTCTCATTTCGGCGCCGGTGGTAGCTGAGTGAGTAAAGGGGTTACTTGTCAGCAATAACACCATATCACCACCGGCCCGAGTTCGAATCCCGGTAAGTTCTAAGCAGCTTGACACACAAACAAACAACTAAGGATACATATACAAGGATACACGTTATAGGTACACTCTTAAATTGAACGCAATAAATAAAGTAGAATTAAGCAAAATGTGAGCCGAAAAAAAAAGAAAAAGAAAAAAAATATTAGGGAAAATTAGGCTAGATTTTTTTGGCTCAAAAATGTCACCTTTGAAGTACTATATTTTTTGTAAAGAATGTTTTTGTGGAATTGGTTTGGCATTCAGCACGGGTGGTAAAATCTGTTTCTAAATCGGAGGAAATGAAGTGAAGGAAAAAAAGCCCAGGCAAGATCAGAAATATCTTCAAATCCTATTGTAGTTTAATCCATGCTTTCAACTAGCTTAAACCACCCCCCATGCGTTTTTGAGTTGGTCTGAGGACACAGAAATAGAGAAATATATAATAATCTGAAAATTTAAGTACATATGACGAGTGCTCTAATATTACAAAAAAGATAATCATGACAAAATCAAAAACCAAAGAAAAGGAAAAAAAAATTTCAGCTGAGGTTTGAACCCCCATACTATGGAGCGAGAGTTAGATGTTCTAACCTCTAGGCTGCTCAGGACTGTGAAAAATTCGGATAGAAAGCCTAAACAGATTTGACACTTATTACTACGATTCGATAATTAGGACTGGACGATACAACCCTACCAACACTAGACCCATATCGATAATCGACAATCGAAGTAGTTGGCCGAGAATTATAACTTGGGAATCATAACAGAGTGGAACTTTTCCCAAAAACCCAGTAGGTGAGGTTTAAGGGAACCCCTATACGCTCACATCTCGGCGCCGGTGGTAGCTGAGTGAGTAAAGGGGTTACTTGTCAGCAATAACACCATATCACCACCGGCCCGAGTTCGAATCCCGGTAAGTTCTAAGCAACTTGACACACACTCTTGAATTGAACGCAATAAATAAAGTAGAATTAAGCAAAATGTAAGCCGAAAAAAAAGAAAAAGAAAAAAAATATTAGGGAAAATTAAGCTAGATTTTTTGGCTCAAAAATGTCAACTTTGAAGTACTATATTTTTTGTAAAGAATGTTTTTGTGGAATTGGTTTGACATTCAGCACGGGTGGTAAAATCTGTTTCTAAATCGGAGGAAATGAAGTGAAGGAAAAAAAAGCCCATGCAAGATCAGAAATATCTTGAAATCCTATTGTAGTTTAATCCAGCAGTAGCAGTAGCAATAAATAAAGTAGAATTAATCAAAATGTGAGCCGAAAAAAAATGAAAAAGAAAAAAAAAATTAAAATGTCACCTTTGAAGTACTATATTTATACCCGTTACTCGTAGAGTAAAAGGGTAAACTAGATTCGTCGGAAAGTATGTAACAGGCAGAAGGAAGCGTTTCCGACCCCATAAAGTATATATATTCTTGATCAGGATCACTAGCCGAGTCGATCTAGCCATGTCCGTCTGTCCGTCTGTCTGTCCGTCCGGATGAACGCTGAGATCTCGGAAACTATGGGACCTAGGCTATTGAGATTTGGCGTGCAGATTCCTGAGCTTCTTACGCAGCGCAAGTTTGTTTCAGTAGAGTGCCACGCCCACTCTAACGCCCACAAACCGCCCAAAACTGTAACTCCTACAGTTTTGATGCTAGAATAAAAATTTTAGCTGAAATGTAATGTTCTCATCAATACCTATCGATTGACCCAAAAAAAAGTTTGCCACGCCCACAAACCGCGAAAACCTGTGACGCCCACAATTTTCATGTTAGATGAAAAATATTAACTGAAATGTATTGGTCTCGTCAATACCTATCGATTGATCCAAATTTGCCACGCCCACTCTAACGCCCATAACGCTTAAATCTGTATACCGCCGGTAGGTGGCGCATTTTAATCTCGCTTTGCTGCTTGCATATCTCTATTTAGCTGAGTAACGGGTATCTGATAGTCGAGGTACTCGACTATAGCGTTCTTCCTTGTTTATTCTACTTAAGCACAAGGGTAGATTTTGTCCTCAGCGATAGAGTGATTATCAAGTCATCAATAGTTTAATAAGTTAGTTTCACTTATCAATTACGGCTGCACTTTGAACCCCCTTTCATTATATTGTATTATTTCATGTGGTTTAGTTCTGAATAAGGGTATAAAACCTCAACAAATTATTACAATTTATGGTCCGATTGAAATTACACTCGGTAATTACCACGTGCAATTCACGCTGTCAATCAAACAAAATCACTTACCATAAGAGGGTATAAAATGCTGAGCAGGACTTGAAATCGTAAAATGAAAATCTCAATCTGTTTGTTTATTTTACTACTTGCAGCAGGTGAAGTAATCCTGGATATGGAAATATCAGTTTTAACCCATTTTGTTGTAAATTTGGCTAAAACCACACATGCAATCTTGTTTATATGTTCGCTCAAAGGTGAGGAATTAAATAAGAATCTAATGGACTTTTCATAAATGTAATACAAGCTAAATTATTCCTAGATTTCGACGAATCGACTCTAGCATTGATGGAAAGAAATCAATTTGTGAGTGTCGTACATTTCAATCAATCTTATTCGCTTTCATCTTTATTGACAAGAGAAAACCATGCTCGAACTTCTATTTTGGTGAATGCCAGATGTACTGGAACATCTGAACTCCTTTTCGAAGCCTCTGAAAATAGGTACTTTAACAAAACATATCAATGGTTCTTCTGGGGAGTTGACATAGATGTTGAAACTTTATTTCCTTATAAACTGAAATATGTTGGTCCAAACGCTCAGATAACATATGTAAATAAAACCGACAACGGGTACGCATATTGGGACATTCATTCCAAGGGACGACATTTGAAATCGCGGTTGGAAATTAATTTGATAGCAACACTAACAAATGATACATTGAATATAGCTTGCGACATTTTTCGTTTGCAAAGTATTGATTTTCGCGGACAGTTTAATGGAATTACCCTAAGAGGAGCGAGTGTTGTAAGCAGAATGAAATCATGCCGAAGCCTTTTGCTATTTACTTTCCATTTCAGATCGATAAAGAGGATATCATTTCAAATGAACAAATTGAATCTATTCTGTCGCGACCCACAAAGGATGCTGGAGTGGCAGCTTTTATAAAGTATCACTACGAACTTTTGGGACTTTTAAGGGACCGTTTCAACTTCACCGTTAACTTTCGGAATTCTAGGGGATGGGCTGGACGGTTGGGGAATAGTACCTTTCGGCTTGGTCTATTGGGAATAATTATGCGAAACGAGGCAGATATTGCCGCATCCGGAGCGTTCAATCGAATCAACCGTTTCGCAGAGTTTGATATAATTCATCAAAGCTGGAAATTTGAAACTGCATTTTTATACCGCTATACTGCAGACTTAGATACTCATGGAAAAAGTGGAAACTTTCTATCGCCATTCAGCGACAGAGTATGGTCCTTTTCCCTATTAACCCTTGCTGCTTTCAGCATAATTTGGATCCTATTTGAAATTATAGACAGCAAGTTTTTACACAGAGGGAATAACTCCCAAAAACAAGAAGGTTCAAGTCAGAAAATTGAAGATGAACTTAATGCTAAGAAAGGTAAACCTTGCATTAAAACGACTTGCATCGAACGGATTCTGCAGACATTTGGAGCCTGTTGTCAACAGGGATTGGATCCGAATCCACAAGATCGTTCAGTGCGTTTTCTCGTAATGACATTATTTCTGTTCTCTCTTGTAATGTACAACTATTATACGTCCTCTGTGGTGGGAGGATTGCTCAGCTCTTCAGATCAAGGACCAGCTACTGTTGATGAAATTACTGATAGTCCTTTAAAGATATCATTTGAAGACATTGGATACTACAAAGTTTTATTTCGAGTAAGTATTAACAAAAAGTAAGTAAATTACCTTTTTTAACCTTTTACATTTAAAAGGAAAGTCAAAATCGATCGATTACAAGGCTAATTGAGAAGAAACTGTCTTCTTTGAGAAGTACAAATGAATTACCAATTTTCAGTCATATTGAGGAAGCTGTTCCATATCTTAAAAACGGCGGATTCGCGTTTCACTGTGAAGTAGTTGACGCTTACCCGGTGATTGCAGAATATTTTGATGCTAATGAGATCTGTGATCTGCGAGAAGTCTCTGGTCTCATGGAAGTGGAAATAATGAATTGGATTTTACATAAAAACAGTCAGTATACGGAAATATTTCGAACAGCGTAAGAAACCATTTCGTTGGCTTGAATTTTTATTTATAAACTTAGGAATTTCAACTGAATTCACTCTAGTATTTTTTGAACGTTGGCGCGTATTTTCTAGTCACTATTGAAAGAAAATATTTAAATTGCTTGGCACACTTTAATAACAAATTTAAATTTAAATGTAAATGTAGATTGAAATCTTTTTTACTCAATAATCGTAGAGTCGGAGCCTTAAAGTGGGTACTTTATTAACTTTTTATATTAGTGCGGGTGTAGACATTTTACAAGCGTTGCCACACATTCGTGGGTTTTCAATCTCTTTATTTTGAAAAAAGCTGATTCAATTTACAGTAAATTATGAATTTTTAAGTAATTGAAAGTCACCAAATTTAATCTAATAATAAAATCCTTACCGATTTATCTTTAATCTCTGTAAGATATCGTCGAATTGTCCGAAATCCAACCCCCTTTTTTCCAAATTATTTATACGTTTCGATTTTTCAAAAGCACGAAACTATTTGTTTTACGAAGGATTATTGTGCGACTTTTATCCAAAGTAAAGAAGTAAGTGTATTTTTTTAGTTAAACTAATTTGTAAATCAATTATTCTGGTAATTTAGCCATGGGTTGAGCTTCTAATAGCACTCCGATTCAATGCAATGCGAAGTTACAGTTTTATAATTTGGTGGCTAGGATCATATCATGATATTAATATTCTTTACAAAGAAATTTCTTTCCTTCAGACATTGTTTTAATTTTGTTTATTACTTGGTATAGGTCATCAGCTGTTACCATGACTGTTTTATGCCATTTTTGAATAATATTTCGACTAATTTTCGACAATTAGAGCTTTAATACACCATGTCGGGTAGCCTATCGAGCGAGCCTCTAAAAAGATTACTCGAAATAACTGTTTACACTGGGTCACCCCATTTATCAGGTTATGTCAGCTGATTTTTGCTTTGATTTTAACACAGAGGATAATCAATTGTTTTGTCAATGTTTTCCTTCCATATAAAAATACTTTCTTACCTTTTTCTTTCGACATTTTGACATTATATCATGACAAGGAAGCGCCGACTGAAATTTTTCAGGGATTTCCATTGATTTGTTTTTATTAAATTCTTATAACACATTTAATACTATAATACCATTTAATACCATCAATAAAAATTAATTTTTAGAAACAATTTATCTCGTTATCCAAAATTAGAACAGCTGTTTTTATTAGTTTCTCTGGTGCGGACGGTCAACGATATGCAATCATTTCAAAAAATACCTAAAATACCAAACACCCGACAAAGGCCCTACATTTGCCCATCTCTAGTTGCCCATGAAAAATATATGTAAAAAAACAGGGTTAAGCCGTAGAGTAAACTAAGGTTGTCATTTACTTGGAGTTTTAAAGGACGGACGGGAAATCAAAAACCAAAAACTGATAAAAAAAGGCCCTTAATTGGAAAGCTGAGTATCTCGTGTATGATAATCTCTTTTTTAGTTATATCTACGTCAAAACTATACTATACAGTATAATAAAATTCCATAAATGATTTCTCTGAATCGCTTTACTATTTAGACCGTTTACAGTTGTCATATCAGCTGTTAATGTTCAGCTGTTTCGGAATTCCAAGCCATTCCTTTAACAATATCGTTTTTTTTTACTCATACAGGCTAAAATTTTTCTTATTAATAACTGATCTTACTCAAGGATGGCTGTTTTTGCCCAGTTTCAATCCACTGGCTAGAAGAGTTTCCTGTGTTATCCAGGGGACAACAATTTCTCAATTTTTGCTCAGGGATGTGCTCTTTGGTATTCAGCTTAAAAGCTAGTTCTGATTAATTTTATTTGTTAATGGGAGGGTAGATCATAATTTTTTTACAGCCGTACAATTATTGCTGCAAATAATATATTTTTTATAGAATGTGCAATGCTCAGGAAAAAGGATTTGTGGAACGCATCCTTCGACGGCGACAAATCAAAAAGCCAGCATGTCAATCATTATACACTGTTTATCCTGTAAGCCTAGCAGGTGTTCTACCAGCATTTGTTACCTTGATCTGTAAGCATGTTAAAAGTTATAGCTTAAAAAATATTATATTATATGTTATTAAATTATTCCATTATTCACGTAGGTGGGATCCTGTTTTCCCTGCTGCTTTTGGGTATGGAGAAATTGTATGCGTATCTTGGCTTGGAAAAATTATGGCGCTTTTAAATTTAACAATATTTATTTATATATTACGATATTATAAAAAAATACTTAAAAAGTATTCCATTATCATATGGCAATGTTGTTTCATTCCACGCATTTCAATAATTTCCATAATTCGTAAAATAAATAAAATGCTTACTCCAAATGCAACTCTGCGCAAATTTTTCGACTTCCTGTCACGCTGTATATGTGGTTCTTTCTTTCCTTTGATTCTGTTGCCGAAGCAAGGTAAGTTTTTGGGGTTGCTTAGATTATGGTATCGGTTGAGTGAATTAAAACGCATAAATACAAAGCGAAAGTAGTCTATTACACTTGTAAATTGTTACGAGTGCAATTCATGACTCTTTTATTGAAAAATATGAAAATAATTTCAGTGCACATGTAAATTTGTCTAGCTAAAATATAATTGTGAAGAAAAAAAAACATCTTGTGAAATTTAAATTTATACATTAAGGTAAGTGAATTTTCGCGTGATTGGTTTTCTGAAGATGGCCGGTAAAGGCTTCCCCAGGGAACATGTTCCGCACTACCTCTCTGTCCACATGATTTTAACCATATGCATACTTTCAGAACTCGGCTTCAGAACTAACAAGTAACCATGCCGCAGAATGAGTATATGGAACGCCATCGCAAGCTGTATGGCAGGCGATTGGATTACGAGGAGCGGAAGCGCAAGAAGGAAGCCCGTCTTCCCAAGGACCGCGCACGCAAGGCTCGCAAGTTGCGCGGTATCAAGGCCAAACTCTTCAACAAGGAGCGACGCAATGAAAAGATTCAGATCAAGAAGAAGATCCAAGCCCACGAGGAGAAGAAGGTTAAGAAGCAGGAGGAGAAGGTTGAGGATGGAGCCCTGCCACACTACCTGCTCGACAGAGGCATCCAGTCCAGCGCCAAGGTCCTGTCCAATATGATCAAGCAGAAGCGCAAAGAGAAGGCTGGCAAGTGGGACGTGCCCATTCCCAAAGTACGCGCCCAATCGGATGCAGAGGTCTTCAAAGTGTTGAAGACAGGCAAAACAAAGCGGAAGGCGTGGAAGCGCATGGTCACAAAAGTCACCTTCGTCGGCGAGAACTTCACCCGCAAGCCACCAAAGTTTGAACGCTTCATCCGACCCATGGGTCTGCGTATGAAGAAGGCCCATGTGACGCATCCAGAACTGAAAGCCACCTTCAATCTGCCCATCATCGGCGTCAAGAAGAACCCCAGCTCGCCCATGTTCACATCTTTGGGTGTCATCACCAAGGGTACTGTGATCGAAGTCAACATCTCCGAACTTGGATTGGTAACGCAAACTGGAAAAGTAGTCTGGGGCAAATACGCACAGGTTACGAATAATCCAGAGAACGACGGCGTCATCAATGCAGTGCTGCTTGTCTAACCAACAAATGTTGCTACCTACTTTAAGAGTTTGCTTTAATAAACAAACATACAAATAACGCTAAACAATGTTTCATTTTCTTAGATCTTTTTTATAGTATAAGCCTACCAATGTGCTACATGATTCTATATCTTCATTTTCTTATTTCTTGCAGTTTGGTGACTGGAACACAAGATGCAGATCTTCGTGAAGACCCTCACGGGCAAGACCATCACTCTTGAGGTCGAACCTTCGGATACTATCGAAAATGTCAAAGCCAAGATTCAGGACAAAGAAGGAATTCCTCCAGATCAGCAGCGTCTGATCTTCGCTGGCAAGCAGCTGGAAGATGGCCGCACCCTCTCTGACTATAACATTCAGAAGGAGTCCACTTTGCACTTGGTGCTGCGCCTGCGTGGTGGTGCCAAGAAGCGCAAGAAGAAGAACTACTCCACCCCCAAGAAGATCAAGCACAAGAGGAAGAAGGTCAAGCTAGCTGTCCTGAAATACTACAAGGTACACACAACAATCTACCGACAACCGAAAACATTCTGATCTGTTCTTGGAATTCTTGAGTCTTGGTCTTGTGCTCTTTGGCTTAAGATTTGGACCTCAGAGTGACTTCACCAGTGCCCTATATAGACAAGTCATGTATGAGCTGAACATTTAATAATCTCTTGTATTTCTCTCCAGGTTGACGAGAACGGCAAGATCCACCGTCTTCGTCGCGAGTGCCCCGGTGAGAACTGCGGAGCTGGCGTCTTCATGGCTGCCCACGAAGACCGTCACTACTGCGGCAAGTGCAACCTGACCTTTGTCTTCAGCAAACCAGAGGAAAAGTAATTCTGCTACATATAACACCATGTACGTTTCCAGAAATCAAATAAAGGTAGTAATTGAATAATAAATTCAATCACAGAAATTTAAATTGTTTTTTAATGGTACTCAACAAAGTTTTAGCATCTCATCGGCGTCGCAAATGAATAATTAATTTCATCCGTCTCATCCCAAGTTGTATGTTAACGATAAACCCTTCATATTTAGTTCAGTCAAGTGATTCAGGGAACCGATGATGTTTTTACCCCAATTTTGAGTTGGCAGCTACAAGTATGACTTCGTCCATCCGACTTTATCCCAAGTTGTAATTAAACGATTAAGACCTACATAATTTTTTTAGTAAAGTGATTCAGAGAACTGATCATGTTTTTTCCAATTTTGCCTTGTCAGCTATAAGTATGATGTCTTCCATCCGACTTTATCCAAAAGTGGACGTCAACGACCTCCACAACATATTTTTTTTAGTCAAGTGAATCAAAAAAACTCTTGCCGTTCCTAACTTTTGAGATCACAAGGAAAACCCCTTAACATAAACCAACCGCGGTTTTAAAATGTTTTTTTCACCATTTTTCCGCTCCGTTCTTTCCTTATTTATTGTGAAAGTAAAGTAAATATAAATCTCGTTCAGGTGTGAAGTTTATTGTGTAAATATTGAATACATTGTAAAAGCAATTTTTACTCGACCTTGAGAAATGCAATTTGTTTATGGTTAACCACTCAAACGTTGACTTTGTCGACATTCAGGCTCTTTGACAAGAATGTCAGAATGTCAGTGGCTTCTTCGATTCTCTTCGAGGTGGGCTTGCCGGCTCCATGGCCCGCCTTCTGATAGACCCGCAACAGGACCGGGTTGTTTTGGAACTCGGAGTCGCGTACAGCTTCCTGCAGGGCGGCGATAAATTTCAGCGAATGCAAGGGACTGACACGATCGTCGTGGTCGGCCGTCAGGATCAGAGTGGATGGGTATTCCGTCTCGGCGCCCTTCGGGGTGTGCACATTATGCAGCGGCGAAAACTTATACAGGTTGTCAAAGTGCTCCTTTTCGGATGGGTTTCCGTAATCCGAGCACCACGCATGTCCAATGGTGAATTTATGGAAGCGCAACATATCCATTACTCTGTGGAGATCATATAGCTTATTAACAATCTAAGTTTTGTCCCAAAAAAGGTCATATACGAACCCGACTTGTGCCACAGCAGCTCCAAACAAATCCGGACGTTGGTTAATACAAGAGCCTACCAGAAGTCCTCCATTGGAACCTCCCTGAATCGCCAATCGGTCCTTGGTCGTGTACTTATGGTCGATCAAATACTCGGCAGCCGCTTGGAAGTCGTCGAATACGTTCTGCTTGTTCAGCAGGCGACCGCCGTTGTGCCATTTCTCGCCATATTCGCCGCCACCTCGCAGATTTGGATAGGCGAGCACACCATCAAAAGTGTCTATAAACATAAGCCTGCAGAGGTTCAAGGATATAATCAAATCAAACCGAATTTCAGCAGATCAGGGCATACCCTGAGAGTCCGAAGGATGGCAGCATACTGATGTTGAAGCCTCCGTATCCGTAAAGGAGACATGGTCGCGGCTCAATGCTATCACGTTTCTTCCTAATTATAAACATGGGTACCTTGGTGCCATCTTTGCTCTTGTAGAATATCTGTTCAACGGCGTAGTCTTCCCGACGAAAACCTTCCAAGTTTAGCTTGATTTCGCGAAATACTGAAGGCGACTGATCGGGTGTCTTGAAATCATACTGGTAAATGGAGCCGGGGTTCAAAAAGGATGAAAAGTTGTAGAATATTTCGGAATATTTCTTTTCTCCGGAGGTTCCCACAATGGTCCCGATATCCAAATCAAATTCACGCAGTAGTTTTCCATCATTCAGCGAATTGACTTGCAGAACGCTCTACAAAAAACATCAGTTAGAACTCCTAAAAATAATCAATGGTTATTACTTACCTTCACGTCCCTAATGTAACAAACGAGCAATTTATCAGCATCAACACACTTAACCCAGTCCAAAACATCAGACTTGTGCTCCTATAAAAAGTAAATACATAATGAATAATCTTATCTGCGGATGAAAGCAAATAAAACTTACGGCTATAAGTGTTTCCCAGTTCTCCTCCTCTGGTTTGTTGAAGTCTATGGCAATAACTTGATAATTTGGTGCATTTTTATTTGTACGGAAGAACACTTTTGAACCTTCGTTAGTTATGTACTGAAAGAATAAGAAATATATATTAAAATTCAAAGAATTTCCCGACAGTTACGTACATCATAGTCCGCCTCGAATTTCTCCACAATCTTCTTAACACTTAGTTTGGAGTTTATTTCTGCGCCTGGCTTCAGGTCTGCGTAGAACACGATATTGTCTCGGCAATCCTTAACAATGGCCAGAATCAAGTATTTCCCGCAATCCGAGACTGTAGATTGGCTAAATACCAAATACAAACAATAATTCCACTCTCAATTGCCTTAATTTCAGAGATTCTTACATTCGCCATGAAGGTTCTTCGGGAAATTCGACCACAAGTGTATCCTTGTCTTGACTTTCCCCCACGCGATGATAGTACAATTTCTGATTCTCATTTTGTTTAGTCTCAGATCCATCAGTTTTTCCATCTTGATCGGGGTATCTCTAAACAAAAAAAAAATTGAATTAACTCTACCGAAGAATATGTGTAATACTTACACCGTAGAAGAATCCCTTATTGTCTTTTGTCCACGAAATCTCGGAGAACTTGACCTTCTCGAGGACTTCGCTTAAGTCTTTTCCAGTCTCGGCGTCTCGAATGAGGATCTTAATCCAATCAGATCCACTTTCACTCAGTCCATAGGCCATATACTTGCCATCTTCGGAGAAGGCCTTTTGGGTCAGGGCAATCGTACCGTCCTCAGACAAAGTGTTCGGATCCAGGAAAACTTTGCTTTCACTTTCATCGCCCAGTGATTTTTGCTGATACATGACACTTTGGTTTTGCAGCCCAGTGTTCATAAAGTAATAGTAGTAGTTGCCATATCGCATGGGGCATCCGTATTTGGGATAGTTCCACAGCTTGGTGAGTTTGGAATTAAGTTTTTTCCATTCGTCACCATTTTCGAGGAATGGCCGGCTTATGTTGTTCTGGGCGTTAACGAATTCCTCGGTCTCCGTCGAATCGGGATCCTCTAGCCAGCGGTACACATCCTTTATCGGGGTGCCATGGAAGTCCTCCTCCACAGTTTCATCTTTCCGTGCAACTGGATACGCGAGCTTTTTGGACAAAGTGCTTGACATGATGGCTCTGGTATCTTGCAATATATGTATGGGTATACACGTATATAATTATTTATCTTTGAAGCACATGTAATCCGACTGCGTAGGCTACTTAAATGTATACTCACAAGTCAAAGGCAATTCTCGATGAATGTAGTTTCTGGGCAGTGCTCTGGGTGCAACTATTTGGCAAAATCGGCGAAAAAGCAATGGGCCCCGAAAGATGGTATGCATTTGCGAAATTATCAATGCAAAAATTGAAGTGTAGTTTTCGACAGTCTCGATAAATAATAGGGGTACTCTTTTCATATCGATAGCGTAGTGCCAAAACTATCGGCATTTGCTCACATCTGATATTGAAAAATTCTCTAATTTATGAAATGTCTATTAAAGGACACAATATGTTTTACTGGTATCCTGATTAGAATGAAAATTAAATTTTTTTAATGCTTATCCATAGAAAATTTATATTACGTACTATGTTGAATTGCTTAATCGTTAAGTTTTGGTCAGCTGTTTATCAGCAGTTCCATTCAATTTCCATATGCAGCAATTCAAGTCTGTTGAATCGTTCAAAACCAGAGTTGTTTCCCTATTTGTAAGAAAAACATTTCCAACATTTTACCATATCTAGTACGAGTAATTTACACAAAAGCATATTAAAAGTTATTTCCAGACCGTCTTATCATATTTATAATTTTATCTAACAATGATCTTTAAAGTTTAACTTGTTTTTAGCTCTAAAAATGTTGATAACTAATCACAGCTGTTTGAAAATTTAACATGAACCAATTAGAATCGTTCCCCTTGTTTCCTAATTTTAAAGTTGAATTTTCAGCAGTTTAAGGAATACCCATACCATTAACAATGCAGGAACACCCTAATCAATATACCAAATAATGGCAGGTGTGAACGGCCAAATGTAGCTTAAAATTAATCGGCCCGTGAACAGATTACCTCTGTTAGACCATATGTTATGTTATATGTTTGTGAGACGAGTCGAGTCGAAATATAAACACAGCCGAGCAGAACTGTCCGTGTCTTATGAATTGAATCGGAAATAGCCGCTTTTATTATTTCATTTGCTTTGTTAGAAAGGAGGAAGTGCTTTATTTGATTGGTATGTAGCTTTGTTTTTACTCTATGCACATCAATTACGTTGGAGAATTGCACTTTTCCTATATTTAATTTCCATATGTATGTTTTTCTTGGTCAGCAACTTGTAGGCACATACATATGTATGTATGAGCACATAAACAAACATTTTTTGCATTTGAATGTATTAACTTAACTGGCTTGTTATTATAATACTCTAAAATTAAATGTAACAATTAAACTCTAAAATGCATGTAGGCACAGGAAGGAATTTGGTATAACAAGATTTATGGGTTATTGTTACGGATATCTATGAACTTATTTTTTGCTGAATTAACAGTTTTGGTAGTAGTGACCTTGTAATTAAATATTTTTTGAAAATATGAATTTATTAAGCTCGGAATTCCCTATAATTTAATTTATTATTATTATTTTAGATCAACCTTCATTATGATTTCCGAAGTAGACCTCATAAATAAGGACAGTACAGTACGAGTTGCTGTCAGGTAAGATATTTGTATTTTAAGCATGTTTATAGAGAAATTACTTACAAATCTTAAAATAGTTAATAAAATCCTTTGGATTATTTATTTAAATTCGGATACAAACAAAATATTAAATTATCTTTTTGAATTTTTAGAATCCGACCTCAAAACTCAAGAGAGCTGATAGATATGTGTCGCATTTGCACGACAGTAACCTTTGGAGAACCTCAGATTTTTCTTGGATCGGACAAAGCCTTTACTTTCGACTATGTCTTTGATACTAATTCTAATCAGGTAAAGTTTTAAATTTCAACTTTGTTCTACATTTTAATTAATTTCATCATGATTGGCAATTATAGTGTGATATATACTCGGAATGCGTGGAGCGGTTGGTGGATAGTACGCTGCGTGGCTATAACGCCACCGTGCTAGCTTACGGACAAACCGGATCTGGCAAGACGTACACAATGGGCACTGGTTTCGACCATGAATCCGAATCATCCGAGTCCGTTCTGCTTGGCATTATTCCACGGGCGGTTCGCCACATATTTAGTGGTATCGAACACCTGGAAGGGGGTGGCTCTGGCTCTGGCTCAGAACTCCCAGCGGCTGGTGGAAATCCGCAGTTCAGTCTGGCTGTTCAATATATCGAACTATACAACGAGGAAATATTTGATCTATTGGACCCATACAACAAAAATAGCAATTTTAAGATACACGAAGACGCCAGCGGACAAATAACAATATCTGGAGCTTCAATAAAGCCAATTTTCCAACCACAAGATGCCTTAAAGTATGCTAAATTCTTAAAACGTATTCCTAACTTGTAAATTTAATTTAAATTTGATTTTTAGATACCTTCAGCAAGGAGCTTTAGCTCGCACCACTGCTTCAACGAAAATGAACGATCAGTCGTCGCGATCTCACGCTTTATTTACTATTTTCGTGCGCAGACAACGTTTACTTGCCCCGAACGACAATGTTACGGATAACGATTTGGAAACCCTAACTTCCAAGTTTCACTTTGTGGATCTGGCTGGTTCCGAAAGGCTCAAAAGGACTCAGGCCACCGGCGAACGTGCTCGCGAGGGCATATCCATAAATTGCGGGCTACTCGCCCTGGGTAATTGTATTTCGGCGCTCGGAGATAAATCTAAGAGAGCTTTGCACGTACCCTATCGAGACTCGAAATTGACCCGCCTTCTTCAGGACTCGTTGGGCGGCAATAGTCAGACTTTAATGATCGCCTGCGTGTCGCCAAGCGATCGAGACTTTATGGAAACACTGAATACCTTGAAGTACGCAAACCGCGCACGGAATATCAAAAACAAAGTTAAGCTTAACCAAGATCAGAGTTCTCGAACTATATCCCAACTACGTAGGGAAATTGCAGCACTGCAGATGGAGTTATTAGAATACAAACAGGTGATATATTTAGTTTGTTAGGAATTGAACTAATTTTGTAAATGAAAATATATTTATTTTCTGCAGGGTAAGCTAGTGGTGGATTGCGAAGGAAACACAACAATTTCGGATACATTTAATGAGAACACGTTGCTTCTTTCGCAAAACAAACGACTGCAACAACGGCTCAAGTTGTTACAAAACACCATTGCCACTTTGACTGAAAGGAATGCAGAACTGAAAATAAAATTGGATTCCAATAAGTGGACTAGTGACGATAGTTCTGATTTCGAAATAACGAAAGTGGTCGGACAATATATGCTGGAGATCGAACAACTCAAGACTCAACTAATTGAGTCTGAAGAACATCGAAAGCTAATGAAAATTTCAGCCGCACACTCACCCAAAAACACCAAGCCCGTATATGATGGTAAGTAATACGTGAGTAGCATATTTTTTCATGACAGTTAATTGTTTTTGCATTTCTGTGTCCCAAAACAAGGCGATATCATAACCAAGGCTAAACGGGATTTGGAAAGGGAAAGGGAGCTCTTAATGTCGCGTTCATTGCCAGGAGTTCAAAATCAAAACGTTAGCTCCGAAGAAGCAGAGGCTGGCAGTAGTGATTCGGAAGGTAATAATACTTAAATATATTAAACAATCTTAATAACTTAAAACATATTCGCAGCGGAAGGGGTAGTAAAAGACTTGGAAGCCGTAGAAAACGATATCGAAATGAGAACCAAGCTAATTGAACAGTTGGAGCTGACCAATGAGAGATGCGAACTAATGCGAATGCAGTACGAAGAAAAACTATCCGTGTTGTATTGCAAAATCGAGAACACGCAAAAAGAACGAGACGATGTCTTGGCCAATATGGGTAAACATTTTTAATAAATAGAAGAGTTTTTTAATGTACAGCAATTCCCATTTCTTAGCTTCATCTGTATCAACCCCGTCAAAGGATACCTTGAAAAAAGTGAAGACAGATTATGAAGGCAAGATAAGCAACATGCAATTCGAGCTAAAGAAATTGCAGAACGCCCAGAGAGAACATCTTCGCCAGCAGCAAAAACTCAAGTCCCACGAAGTCAAAATAAACACGCTGCGCAGCGAGCTGAATGAGCTGAAATTCACAAAAGTAAGCCTATACGTTTTAGTTTTGTACAAATTTACAATGCCATTTGCTTTTTCCTTTGCAGGTAAAGTTAATGAAGAAGATGTCGCAACAATCAAGCCGCCATAAAGAAGAGGATAGTCGAAAATCCAAGGAAATTGCTCAGTTGCTAAAGGAACAGCGGCGCCAAAAAAATGCTGTAATATCTTTGGAAGCCAAAGTGAGTGCGAAGGAACAAATTCTGAAGCGAAAAACAGAGGAAGTGATAGCCCTTCGCAAGAGTCAAAGGGGCAAGTCAGGCCAAAGAGCCCCTCCTCATTTAGCTTCGAAAATTGCTACGTTGGATGGTTTCACATCTCGCGCCGCAAGACATCGATGGGAAAAACTATATCGCACAATATTGAACGCTGCCAGAAACAGACAGCTAATCACGCAATTGGAAAAGGAGCTGGAACGACTAATATTGGAGCGGGAAGATCTCTCCCGAGAGCTAAACATAATGGAAAATAGTTCAGGCGCCGAAAGGCGAACAGATGAGTTCAACGAAGTAGACAACCTAAAAACCAACATAAGCTATATTCAGGAGAACATAGAGCATGTACAGCAGGCTATAATGGAGTTTGAAGACACAAAAGACACTGTGCAGAGCGATCTAAACAAGATTCAGAGTCTGTTGGACGAGATCTCCACCGTGTCGGAAGCGAAATTCATTCTTCAGAAGTTTTCCGACAGTTCCGTAGTAATGTCGTGCAACTTGGCCATTGCCGAATCCCGTTCGCAGGAGCAGGAATCGCTGCTTAAGGAAGCTAAGCAAGAAAATGGCATTCAGCAGCAAATATTGCAACACTTCCTGTCGCAAAATAGTAATGTGCATATAGCTGACATATTTGATTCCTTAAATCTCAAAGGCAGTAACCTCATAAATAGTGTAAACCCGGGTTCTCAAAAGTCGTTAGTAAGCAATGCCACATATGACATCCCGCAAGAGGACAAAATTTCAGACTCCATGCATGTGGAAATGCGCAGGACGACGAGTAGAAGTCCTTCGCCGTTTGCAAATGCAGACCCGTAAGTACAATAAAATCACATTTCCAACCTATAATATTTAAATTCTCTGTTGAATATATAATTTTAAATGCATTTGTTTTTTATTAGGTTTGACAAAAGCCCCAAAGTGCGCAGACGGACTGCCAAGCGACAAGATCTTCTTTTTGGTGACATGGAACTTCCAGAACAGGTAAACGCTACTTATTTCGAAGTCTTATTACCACTTAAAGCAAAATATGATTTCATCCACCAGACCAATGATAAGATGACGTGATCAAGCACTCGAAGATGAGGTCATTTAAGGCAAGCCGCAGTTGGAACTAATATTAATTATAACCTCTAGCGAACAAATAATCAAAAGACAGGGCCATTATTTTCGAAGGTAACCTAAACTAAGTTACTTTGTCCCTATTTAAAATCAAAATGAAGTTTGTAATAAGTTTTGTCCCTTGTACTGGCTTTCAAATCAAAAGAGCTTTTAACACAATAAAAGTGGTGTTAAGGATAAGATGTATGGAAGATTAAGTAAAGAGCTCGTGCAATTGGTGTCTTCCCAGTTAACACAATAAAAATATACAATAGAAAATATAACAATAATATATTATTAAATTATTTTATTAGACGTAGATCAATATTTTAATTAAAAAATATACAAATTAAACTTGACTTTTAATGCTCCTTTAAGGGAGAAAGCTGGATAAGTTTAAAAAAAAAATATAGGGCAAAAAAACAAGCACAAAAAATAAAGGAATTATTAAAAATATTTTGGTAATTTTTGTGATTTCTAAGCTTAAAATGAAATTGGCACCTTTTACATTGTATTCAAAATAAATAAAATGTAGAATAAAATACAACAAATCGTCACATATCCCTCTTTGTACAACTACTAAAAAGCAACTGGAATTTGTCTAAATACATTCAGGTGCGAATTTCTAACTAGACAGGATGTAGACCACTTTTTAAAACAAATATTAAAATGATAAAATTTTAACTTCGATACATTGGAATTCCATGATGGCATTGGAGATACATACGTATAGTTAACTGATCTGTCCCAACAAGTATTTTTTTAAAACAAAAATGGTTTCCTGCTGGGATAAATCACGAACCGTAAAAATTATAAATTGTAAAATAAATAATAAAATATTATTATAAAAAATAATGAAATGTGTTGGTTTTTCCGATTCTTATGGCAGATAAATGATATAGTCGTGCGGATTTTTAACGGTATCCATCAAAAATCTATTACTAATAAAACTTTATTCTTAATAGTTGAAAGCAATATGTAAGAAAACACCAAAGCTATAATTTTTTTTACATTATTTCTCCGATCATTCGTATGGAAGCCATGGGTTTATTTTTCAAATTAACAAAGACTTTTTTATTTATTTTTAAACAGACAAAAATATTTAAAAAATTATTTATATTTAAAATTTTTATAAAAAAAAACAATTTCTCTTAATTCAACAACAAATTTAAAAAAATATTTTTTTCGCTCTCGGACGGTGTTTTTGTGCTTAAATTTTCAGTTATGCCGAGATGAATCGAATGCCCTTAATAATTTTCGATTTCGATTTACCATTATTTTCCCGCTATCTTGACATTAATCGAACTATCGCTTTTTGCCGGCATTTCTGCATCGAAATCGGCTTGTGTTTCGGGATCTTATTGAATTTTTAAAGAAGTAAACAATTTGTAGCAATGACGGACACTAGTGGACCTGCAGTGCGCATGCCTTGGTAACTTTTAGTTATATCTTAGAGGTTCACAATTAATCTCTGTGACTGTTTCCAGGGTGGAGAAATATCGTCCAAGTGGCTTAGAAGATTTGATATCTCACGAGGAAATAATATCAACAAGTGAGCGCAATACTCCTGCCCATGACTCCATTTTAATAGTGCTTAAACTTACTTACAGTCACCCGCTTTATAAGCCGCAAGCAATTGCCCCATCTACTATTCTACGGTCCACCTGGCACAGGAAAAACGAGCACAATATTGGCGTGCGCCCGTCAACTTTACTCACCGCAGCAGTTCAAGTCCATGGTTTTGGAGCTCAATGCCTCGGATGACCGAGGAATCGGAATTGTGCGAGGTCAGATCCTTAACTTTGCATCTACGCGAACCATTTTCTGCGACACATTCAAACTTATCATTCTGGACGAGGCCGATGCCATGACCAACGACGCCCAGAACGCTCTGCGTCGCATCATTGAAAAATACACGGACAACGTGCGGTTCTGTGTGATTTGCAATTATCTGAGTAAAATCATCCCGGCCCTGCAGTCGCGTTGTACCCGCTTCCGATTCGCCCCATTATCTCAGGACCAGATGATGCCCCGCCTGGAAAAAATCATTGAAGCTGAAGCGTAAGTTCTTGGACTCGTAATAGTTCGTTTTAATACTTTTCAATATTATTAGCGTTCAAATAACCGAGGATGGAAAACGGGCATTACTTACTCTGGCAAAAGGCGATATGCGAAAGGTCCTAAATGTTCTGCAAAGTACCGTGATGGCATTTGATACCGTCAACGAGGATAACGTCTACATGTGCGTGGGCTATCCCTTGAGGCAGGACATCGAACAGATCTTAAAGGCATTGCTATCTGGCAGCAGCTTGCAGGACTCGTTTAAAAGTATGGTTTACTCGGAATTCTAAAGCACACAGCTTAAGTGTCTTTTCATTTTCCACAGCGGTCGAAAGTGCAAAGCATGCTAGAGGTCTCGCGTTGGAAGACATCATAACCGAACTGCACTTGTTTGTCATGAGACGTAAGTTTTTTACTACTTCGTCCTGATTTCAAGTTATTTATGTATTTTCAACAGTTGAACTGCCAATGTCCGTCATGAACAAGCTTATTGTCAAGCTGGCACAAATCGAAGAACGATTGGCCAAAGGATGTACTGAAGTTGCCCAAACGGCTGCCCTGGTGGCCGCCTTCTTCATTTGCCGGGATATGGTATCAATGGAGAAGTAATGCAAATGTAGTTTACAACATTAGGGTATTAACATATTAATAAATAAAGAAAAATATATAAATGTTCGTATCCCTCATGAGCGTTATGAGGATTGGTAATGAATAATTTTAGGTTTTGATCAGATTTCTGTGGGTCTTACAGTTCGGGATTAAGATAATATATAACTGAAATATTTATCCAAAAGGAGGACCGATTGCCCGGTAGAGCGCTTTAGAGATAACTTGAATTTTTAACGCCTTTTACGATTTGCCAATATAAAAAAACTTCAATTTAGATATTACATTTACTAAAAAATTAAACAAACTTTTTCAGATTCTTTTTATTATACAGTAAATGGCCTTAAGCGAAGAATAAATATAGATAACGGATGGCTTTTCATAATAACAATGTAACGTTTTGGCCTCTATTCGATCGTATGAGGAATTTCAGTTCTGTTCAGGTTTTGATTTAAGCATTTGGTGGAACTTATCGATCTGCCCGAAGATGCCTGTATCCTTGTCACGACACCACACATCGTCTGGTGTTATCTTCACGCGCTGCAATGCTTTCTGTGATTTGTCCTGGATGCGGGGGTCGTCGTCGTTGAATCGCAATACGCAGGAGCCAGTGCACTTTCCCACGCATGTGCCCTGTTCAAACTCGTAGATGACCAGGTAGAAGAAGGGCTCGTCGGCGAAGCGGAAGGACCTCTTTAGCACCAGTAAGGTATTGGGATCTTCTTCGAGCTCAGGCTCTGGAGAGGCTAGAGTGTTGACTGCTGTCTGCGGCTGTAGCGAGTCGGGACTATTGATTTCTGTCTCCGATTGTGGCGAGTCAAGAAAGTTGGTTGCTAACTCTGGCAAGTCCGGACTCACAATTGGAGACTGTGACTGCGAGGAGTCCAGAATCTCGATTATCGACGGTTCGATATTTGGTGGTGGAGTCTCACTCGTGGCCTTGGTTTGCAACTGGCTGGCGATCACCGTGATGTTACTTGAATTACTAGTGGAACTCGTGTCGTAGTCGTCGTCGTCGGAAAAGATAGGAGCCTGGGTATCGGGGAGAGCCGGCATTTCTGGGCCAATTTTCTTCACATAAAAGGAGGAATTCACGTTGCCTTCGGTGCCAGCGATTGAAGCATTTGAACTGCGCGCCGGCCGTTCGGCGATATTTTTTTCCAGTTCCAGGCACGTGGAGCACTTGAATTCGGTGGGCTGTGTTCCCTTAGACATTCGCATGGTGCCTGCTAGGCACTTGGTATGTGCGCCCATGCAGCCGCACAATTTGCAGGACAGAATCACCCAAGTGGACTTGTTATAAAACCTGCCATTAGGGCACAGACAGTTGCTCTCGCCGCACCGTAAGTTGCGGTCGTGGAGCTCCCTGTAGGCGTTCCGCTGCTTCTCCCACATGGCATCGCGATCCGGCACGAATACCGACTGCAGGCGTATTGAGTCCCGGAAACTCTTCGACCGACACCAAATGCAGCACAAGTAATATCCGGAGGTCAGAGCATAACGTCGCATGCACGACTTATGGGCGAATCCCCTGCGACAGCAGTCCCCGTAGGTAATTTGGAACATTTTGAATACTAGGATGGGAACTAAGCATATGTCGCACAGACGGTTCTGGGGCGGATTGGCCAATATTTCCCGCTTGTAGTCATCCATCGGTACGCAGGAGTCGCAATAGCTGTGGTACATGCCAGTGAACTCGAAAGCACACTGATTGTTCAGTCCACACTTTAAGTGGAAGAACACCCGGCAGCCATGGCACTGGATACTGGCAGAGATCTGCTGGCAGTAGTAGCACTTCCTCTTCCTTGCGGCGGCCGCCTCCTCGCGGATGTCGCGCATCAGGAAGCCCAGGATTCCGCTGGAATCGCTTCCGCGCTGCGGCAAATTGGTTGAGAGGAGCTGGCGGAAACGAATCGGGGAACAAACATTACTGGGTGAACTTTTGACTGACAAATGGGGACCCTTACCAGGCAATAGTAGTGCACGTGCAGCTGCCTTGAGACCATCCACTCGCCGTAGAGCACCTCATCGTTGTCGTCAAATTGGCATATTTCGCACTTTGCCTGTTGTTTTCCCTCCATTTTAAAACTGACCGCTTATCCGGAGCTAGTCAGATTAGAGTGACCGAAATTCTACTGTTAATATTTTCCTCAATCGAAAACATGATTGAAGAAAATCTTTGTAGAGCTTCAAATTATGGAGAAAGCTTACGGTGGTTATTCACTGATCACAAATATTTTCTGGCGTATATTATAGCAAAATTACTTTAAAAGTGTCTAAATAATCTTTTGTTTTTTGAAGAACCTACATACTTTCTTATCCCAAAGACGGAAAGAAATGTTATTAGAATGAATACGAAAATTAAGGACCGGCAGAGATGTATAGTTTCCTTAGTAATCACTAATAAAAACCACAAATATACAAATTAAAAAATTATTTCTTTTATTTTTAATAAGTCTTCTGTTTTAAGCAAAAGGCTAAGCTTGTTTCACTTTTCAAGTAGTTTTTGTATAATTTTTTTTCTATAAGTAGGTAAATAACAACAAAATTAAACAAGCTAATATTTATTTAATAATTAACACCTCATTTTTTATAGTAACAATATTTACTTA